AAAAAAAAAAAAAAAAAAAGTTAAAAGGATAGTTAACAAGCGAGACTTAAACGAAGCAAAAAAAGAAGAAAAAGAAAAGAAAGAATTGTTCGGAACAGTTTTGACGATACTTACTCGATAAGACAACATTAAGCCTGTTTTGTTTAACATCCAAAATGGACAATATAACGCCATAATGATAGAACCATGTTTATACGATGTATGCATTCCCAAATCCATTATAACTTTTTGTGCGCTATCAAAAGATTCGAAAGACCACACAGAAAACTCTGGTGGATTCGCTAATATCTCACCCCTACATGACCAATCTTTCTCTAAATAATTTGGTAACTGTAACGTATTATAATTTTAGAAATTATACGAGTTATCCTGCATAGGAATGTGATTTACTTACTTTTATGATTATATGAGATTTTCCTGGGTCAATCGTGGGGATCTGATAAGATGTACCAGCTTCTAAGAGCTTTTCCTGTACAGCTCCAGGTAGGCATACGATAATATCGATAGGCAAGAAGTTCTTCAAATATACAGCTGGATACAAATGAACATTATAAATCGTACTTGCCATTGTATGTCGACTAGTATTTTCGAAATAAACTTGTTCTATTTCACCAACAACCTGTAAATATTACAACGCATGTTGTTAAAATACATAAATTATTTTTTAAAATATTAAAATTATTCTTTCTCTACTGTGTTACTCTATCATTCTTTGTACTATTATCTAAGCGGTAAACGACACTTTCAATATTTAAGGCATAACAGTAACATTACACTCCGTTTTATAACATTAATAAAACAAGAGGAAAGAAAACGTGCAATGGATACATTATACCGAATGCTAACATAAATTTTTGAACACTATGCGACAAAGATAAATTGAAAAATTGGCCATAGTACGTTGTAGAAACTTTAATGCTGAAATGAACTAGACTAAAAAATAAAACAATATCTATGAGGATAATTGAAATAAATGAAAGAAAGTCCTGTAAAGTAAAAGATAAATTCAACAAATTCAAAAATTGTCAAGTTCGATGAAAATAGTTGAAGTTGATGTAAAAATAATTTCTCTGTTTTTTTTTTTTTTTTTTTTATCGTAATTATATCATTAATATAACAAAATTCACGACTGTAACTAAAACCATGCCAATAACTATTCAACTTTCCAATCAAACATACAAGGAATCTCTGGATCAATAATGATCAATGTAATAACTAACACATCCTACAATGTTATTCATTACAGGTACACACATGTTAAAATTATTAACTGTCTAATAAAACTAGCGGCAGTAAAGATACTTATTTGGTTGATATCCAACATATACTAAATAGCAACTGATTCTCAAACTAATTCAGAAAAGAACGATTGTACCTGTATAGGTGCATCCAGATATTTTTTGTGCTCTGAGGGTAAAGTTTTCAAGCAAAGATGCTTGACGCAATCAATGAAACGACAGAATACGGATCGCCAGTTAATAGCATTCAATAATAAGCCAATAGTGTTGTTATTATATAAAATACTACCAACCACAATCATCACGAAAAACATCTAAAAGTAAAAACTGTTGCTTATAAAAGCATGTGATGTAATTTGTTTTAACAAAGTCTTGTTTGATTACAGCATAAGAAAAGAAAAATAAAATTAAACGTACAGTTTTGTCATATAATAGTATTACACATACTACACGGTGTGAAATTTTTAAAAGACAGAAATCAAATGTAAGAGTTTTCTAAATTTGTACGTAAATAAGCGAACGAGTTTCGCTTTCTTACCTTCATGTAAAATGGTTCTACAGCTTCTTGCCTCGCTCGAGATTCACATTTCAACAGTTTTGTCATACTAACTGTTTTTTGTAGATCTTTCCAAATAAATTGCTCTATCGAAACCATATATCTGGAGAAAAACGTTGGAATAAACATTGCGGAAGGCAATGTAAAAGATACAAAAATTTATTTATACAAAAATATAAATTACCCCTCAACACTGAAAAATAGTCCGTAAACATTTGTTGGCGTATATACAGCATCCAACGGAAGATTCAACTTACTATCTGAAGCAACAGTTCCCACACATTCAACTTCATTTCCACGCTTAGTCATATAATATACGGATATTGGTTGACTAAAATGATTGTGTACCTACGAGATATATAGGATGTTGTTGATTGTGATTATTATTATTATTATTATTATTATTAGTATTATTTTACCACTACTAATTACTACCAAAGCTTGAGAGAATTTATGCAAATTACCTGTAGAATACTTCGAAGAGTAACAATGGTACTTCCTTCATCTACTACAACGTCAGAAACAATACCCCATTCTTCGGAATTATCTTTTCGATACTTCAATGAAAAGAACCTTTTATCAGCTCTTAACACAGGTATAGCCAACGTTCCATTAATTTCTTTGAACTTCAAACAATATTATTATATACATTACACCATTGATTATACGAAGCAAATTTATATTTTCCGTATATTTTACATGTATTACCGAAATAATAAACTTATCATCGTCTCGTTCTTTGATCGTTTCAGTTTTTAATTGATCAACCAATGGTATTTCGGTTTTTGTCGTCCTCGGAGCCAAGTCTACCGATGCACCAGATTCAAGAATTACTTCCATGTACGAATCTGTGTTATTGCTCGCAAGTTTAGATCCATCGCTAAAGACCTAAGAAAATATACATTCATAGTGTTATCTTCACAATTAAAAGGTATAAAAAAAAATCTTAATGACAATAAACCTTGAAGTGACTGCGCTCCAAGTCTAAAACTATCGCTAAACCAGTTTCATTCCTGAGCACGTACGGTGCCACATTTTTGGCCATTCCTTTTCCACTAGCTTCCATAGCAGATGAAAATGCATTGCCAAGTTGTTTTAGTACATCCAGACAAGTTTTAGTCACGGTTATTTCTAAATTTTCCTATTGTAAAATATCGTAAAGATATTGCAAAAATATATGATAAAAAAAAATTTATGCTCATCAACTTACAGTTGATACTACGTCGATAGACATTTTAGGAGTTTGATGTAATTCTTCTATTTCACTATCTGACGTAGGACTGATAGTCCTTGCATTTCTAGAGTCTGGCGATACATTATTAAATTGAATCTAGCACACAAAAATTAATAAAAAAAAAATACGTGAAAACAATGAAAAAGCTGCAAAAAATGTTAAAACATTTTAATCTTTGAAAATTTAAATACATTACTTTAACTTTTAACTCCCAAGGCGTAGAAATCAATTTTTCATTTTTAATTTCCTCTATCGGTTCAATCAATGGTTCCCACAATGCTAGACAGCTATTGTAATAAGCCATAATTACCGACATTGTACTTTCTACGTTCATCTAAAAATATTTGAGCGGTAAACGAACAGTGCGAGAAAAATCTATATCAAAATTCATACGACTGTATCTCACAGTTTTCGTACTCCAATCGTTAACGTTACTTTGGAAGCCAATGTGAAGTAAAAGCATTGGTAACGTTTTATTACCAACGCCTGCTTCCAACGTGAACAGAATCGTCGGGGCAGAGATTATTGCTAATTCTGGTTTATAAACCGTAGTATCCTCGTCGTCAGAATATACGAATTCTTCTATGGCTTCTATTCCTACTTCTAAAAAGAAAATAGAAAAACATACGTACGTTTAAAATATCATCGACGGATCACGTCGAATGGAAAAAAATTTATATATAAATTAAACACGTATGTTATACCTGTTTTTAAGAACCAAAAATCATTTTCTTCAAACGGAGTCACGATCCATAATCCTTCGTAATTTTCTTCGGTAACGACAACTTCCTGATCTTGTTCTTGCGTCTTTGTGGCAGTATGAACTACTTTATTCAATATCTCTATGACACCTATAAACAGCGAGTTTCATTAGCGATCTTATTCCGACGTCAATAACTGTCAATAATTGAATTACCCGGCGAAACCGATAAGTGAATATCTGTGCAACAAATATCGATGTGAAGTCCTTTGCCATCCGGTGTGGAGCCTGCTACACTTATACTGCACGGTCTTAGTACCTTTTATAAAATTAACACTTTAGTAATTTTATCACATGTAGAAACGACGTAAACAGTAACAACTTTTAGAGGAATCTTTACCTGATATATCCAGTCACTTCTTTTCACGGGATTGTATATACCAGCTAGAATTGATAAATCTTTTACGGAGCCTGTTATTATTTGATGCTCATCCATCAAACGTACTTTCAGCAGTAATTCGGTCTGAAAGAGATCAT